CGCGCGATATTAAAGCGGCTTTGATGAACGGCGGTCGAGAAAGAGAGAGAGAGAAAGAGAGAGAGAGAGAGATGCTAATCAGCCAAAGGTTCGAGAAAGAAGAAGAAAAAAAAGAGATTTAATATAAAGTGCTTCCTCGTGTAATGCGATATCGATAATCGTCGGGAGTCTTCTGTTGATACTTTCTTGCCACTTTAAAAAACACCGGCCCCGGGCGATTTATTGGCTTTTTTTAATATTGCCCGTCGATATTGCTTCGGAAAAAAAAAGAAAAAAAAAAATCTCATTGTCAACGAGAGGAGAGAAAAACCGATACAATTTTAATAACACTTGATAGACGAGAGGGACGAGAGTCTCGAGATTCAAGGGTGAACACACGAGTCGCGAGAACGCAAATTCGTAGCTTCCTATTTGCTCAGGTTCTTTCCAAATTAACGATTAAATTGCATATGCGATACATTTCCGTGTAGCTTCCGTTTCTGTTGAGATTGACTTCCTTCGACATTCGTGCCTCATTACTTGACGCGATCGAAACGTAGTAATAAGATAAATCTCGGGAAATCGTCGCTTCGAAAATCGATCGATAATCGTAGAAAAATATATATCTCCATTACACTAACTTGACATACGATGGAATTCCGGCACGTACTGCTCGCTGTCTTCCGTTTCGCAGCTGCTACCTACAACGAAATTCGTAAATATTATTTCGAACAGTGGTTTATGAAGGGAAGAAATGAAAAATAGAAAAATAAATAAACACGAGTAAAACGAAATGACAATAATAACGTTTAAATAATAAGGAACGAAAGATTATCGCGAGGTGTTAAGTTGATGATTTCGTCGGGATCGGCCATTGGACGTTCCACTGGCGGAACGTCCCCTCGTTATCGCGATTATTACATTGCATCCATCGTGCATTACATTACAGTTCGTCGAAGTAATCAAAATTAATGTTCCGGACAGTGAGGCCACTGTTTCTAATCACCTTCGAGGAAGATTTACGTTATGCGGCTTGAAAATGGAGCCTCGTTCCCTCGTTTGTTTCATAAGGAATAATACGAGTCTGTAAGAATTTTACCGTGGCGCTTCTAGTTTGCAGAAACTCTGTGCTATTTCGCTGAAAGGGAAGCGGAACGGAAGTCGGGTGTTTTAAAGCATTATATACCGAGCTTTGCTTTTATAATTCAATCGAGTTAATGGAAACTACGATAACGATTTTATTGCGAACCAAAGAATATATATTAATTTTGATATTTTCTCGTTTTTTTTTTTATTTTACGATTCCGGATAATATTGATCGGTAAAATTTGAAAAGGAAAAGTAAAAAAAGAAAAAAAAGTTATTCCGCCCGAACAGGGACTCGAACCCTGGACCCTCAGATTAAAAGTCTGATGCTCTACCGACTGAGCTATCCAGGCAGCTGTTAACTTCCGTCTCAATGTATGTAGAAATATCCATTTTTTTTTTTTATATTAATGCAATATAAATTATTTATAAAGAAACTCACTCACCATCTTGAAGCCATGATTCTTGTCTATATTCCTGTGTCGGGTATATTTCATTTTCTGAAATGAAATTCATGTCTCCTTTTATACGATTATTTCTTTTTAATTTTCTATAATAATAATAATATAAAAAATGTTTTATTATTTTTATTCCATATCGATACATGGAATGAAGTATTTTGATATATAAATATATAATATAAATAGACGTATAAATAGAAACAATTTAAATTCGTATAATCAATGTAATCCAATCGATAGAAGCACAATTCAATTGCAATATCAATATTTAAACGATACTTTTCTTATACAAAGATCTTAAGACCTTTAATTCACGAGCCAAGCCAAGAAATTAGTTGACAGCATGATGATTAATGGTTACTCGAGGATAATTACACCTCACCGTGAAATTAATCCCTCGTTCATATTATTCAACCATATTATTTCGTCAAATTCGATAAATATTCATTAGCGATAAAAATATTATTCCAGATCATAATTATTCCAACGATTATATATACGAAACGTGCATTCCTTCGTGTATAAAACGATTCCTGAATAATTATGTCACGATGAGACACGATATCTGAGCTGTAATAAGATTCGACGAGACGGGGATCGTAAGAAGGAACAAAGACTGAACACTGAGGGATGAATCAGTGGCAAAAACAACCCCTTTCGATGTAAGTGATATACGTATATATAAGAATGCGGCAGAAATGTATGTTAGGGGTCCGTTTAATGGGCCTCTAGGATTCGCCACGGGTAGCCACTTGACAGTAACCTCGTTTTGTTCGTAGCTCGACAATCCAGTTCGACGAAACGAATTTAGCTCGGAGAGCTTCATAGCTCGTGGATAATAAACGCGTTTCGCTACGAGACAATGATGTACACGATTCTACGAACGAAACACCATATCAAAGATTTCACGTTTTGGAAAATTTCGCAATTATTTAGATCGATTATTCTTTTTGGAAGAAAAAAGATAGATTATTGAAATACTTTTAAAAAGAATCTTACATTTCGATGGACGCACAAGAGTATCGTTGAAGTAATATTTTCACCGTAATTTCGTTCCCATTTCGAGGTCGGGTGTGGAAAACGAGAGGAGAGTGGCGGAAGGTTCGTTCTTTCGACGTTTCAATATTTCTTCGCGACGAATTGTCGCCGAAAAGTGGTTGGGGAGGGTGGTAGGGCGTAACGTGATTACGATAGAGAAATTGCAGCATTATAGGCAGTGATTGAGTTAGGTGGAGGCAGACCATCCCGACTGGTGGTTCACACCACGGCATGCCAATGTTAGATATAAAGTGTCAATCACTGTGCCCAGACGCCGCTAGGGTGGTTACGAATCCTGTGGGGGTACGACCGGGGCTTCGACCACCCCATGGGGCTCTTTGCGGCGATAACACGTTGCTTATTGAATTCGTCCTGAGGATTCACGCTCCTGGTGTCGCGTTTCTGGGTCAAGGCTGTAAGCAAAACTATCTAATTGACCGACGAGTGCAAATTCCGCTCGTTCGGATCGTCCAACGAATTACGATGCGATTACAAAACTGCCAATCTTCACCCTCAACTTGCGCAATAACAGTATCGACGATTTTTTCTTCGGAGGATTTCGGCCATTCGACAATCCTAAAAATTTTCCTCGAACCAAAGTCGACAGAATCTCCTTCCATTGAAATTCAATTACGCAACGAGATTTAATTATTGGCGAATCGATCATTAGGATGGAATTGATCGAGAATATAATTCGACAAAGTAGCGCGTCATTGTGGAATTAATTATACGATATCCGACAAGGAACGGGCGAATTTTTCATCGCGATAGGAAGGAGTATGGTGAGATGTTCGAAAAATCTTCTCACTCTTTCCTCGCAGTCTTAAAACGTAATTGCATCGTAGAAAATAATATCATGGTTGATGCGACTATATAAAGATATTGACTCGACTGCCTGCCGGTGACAGCCTCTCTTCAGGGGGTGGTTCTCCCTTCTCCCCCGTTGTACACAGTTCGCGTACATCCTGCACGTGCTTTGGGCCGCCGCTACGCTTTCTTGTGCCTCCGTGAAACCTTCCTTCGTGTAAGTACGTGTTTGCACGAAGACGTAGCCGAGACGACTCCGTGTCACGGTGTGCTCTCTCTCTCTCTCTCTCTCTCTTTCTCTCTCGAGAAACGTCTCGTATCAAAGAGCTTGAAAATCGAGGGGATGGCGACCCGAACGGATCGCCCTCTCGACCTTTCCTCGCTCGCGAAAAGTCTTATCGTGATACACGAAATATCGAATAGCCGCTACGACTATTTCCAAACTTATTCCGCTCGAAATTTCCTCGCTTGCTCTCTTCTCTCCGTGTTATTTCGCTACACTTACCGGGATGCAGCTTCTCCTCGGTGTTCGGCTGTGTCACGGGATAGTTTGTGGGACAATATCCTGTTTGAAGCGGCTCGTTTAGCCTGTTGAATTCCTCGCTCGGCTGTAAAGATAGATTAGATCCGAGTTAAAATTAAGTTTTCGATAGGGTTTTCGGTCAATTTTCACACACCGCCTTTTTTTTTTAATCCGAAATCGCGGATTGATTTTCAAGGAATCGATTCCACAAATCCGATATTTCAGATCGGGAATGAAAAAAAAGTCTCTCTCTCTCTCTCTTTCTCGTTCGCCTAGAAATGCTATCGGGCGAGGAAAAAAGACGAAAACGATGTAAAATCGCAGGAAGAAAGGAGAGAGAAGAGAGAGAGAGAGAGAGCGAGGCAATTTGGAGGAGAAAGGAATAGCGAGAAGCGGGATTTTAAAGTAGTGTAGCAGGTACAATGAGAAGGAAGAAGAAGAAGAGGACGAGGAGAAGGAGAGGAAGAGGGGGAGAACGTGCGAGAGAGGAGGCAAGGAGGACATCCGGTGAACGATTGGATGGTTTCCTCCTTGCGGAGCAATCTAGTGGTAAAGCCGGTTACCGGTTTTGGAAATTCCAATAACGCCTTGTCGCCGTCTGCTTTTCCTTTATGAAGTTTCACTGTACCCTCTACCGATCGCTTACACTTTAAAAATCGAGAAAGATCGTTCGCTTTTACGAAAACTTTGAACGCGCGCACACGCGCTTGACGTCAAAATCTTCTTTCGATCTTTTTCTTTGATTAATTTTTCTAAACGTTATTTAATAGTTGGCGCAAAATATATATATATTTTTTTTCTTTATTGATTATATGTACACGGGGTAATCACTTTATCGCCAAGTTTCCCCGTCATTTTTCTTTTATACTTAATTCGACAGGATATTATCATTTATAGAGACTTGATAATCAACTTCCACCTTTACAGGTTCGGTTAGTCTTACGTTCATTCACTCTCGTCCCCTTGGATTTTCCTCTGATTGCAATTAATAGTCATTTATAATTAGTCGCCGCGATGGTTCAGCACTCGTAATCCACAAGCTGTGCCCTCTAATATAAATTTTAATTACATTCCCCGATATTACGTTCAATCTTTAATCCCGCCAACCCGATATCAAACGGTATTTAGCGGCACGACAGCGTTAAATGAGTGATAAAGAATGCATCGTGCGGTTTCACGGTGTATATAGATATCTCTCTCTCTCTCTCTCTCTCTCCCCCATCCATATTCTATCAAAATTTTAAAAATATCTTCACCTTCGTGTACACGCGTATGACACGATTTTGACAAAACATTCGATCGAGAAGTTAATCGAGTGCATTCGCGGAGTGCAACGAGTCGTGAGGAGAGCGCGCAAACATGGTCGCGTGTCGTTTAACTTTTTCTGTAGAACCCACCTCCCCTGACCTTTCCCATCGGGAACGGCGTGTAAAAGACGCGCTTGTAAGTGGATCGTTTGGGGTACGTGTGTTATGTACGGACAAACGTGTTCGTACGTACGTTTGTATCCAGTGAAAACGAGATACCCATGAATCGTGGGGAACGCCCCATCGTTCCTGATGATGCTACGAGGGGTCGTCACCCCAATTCCCTTCGTACACCACCCTCGTAATTGCGCACTTCGGTTCAGTTTATAATAAAGTCATCGAGCAGACAACACGTTCCAACCAGGCTCCCCTCCCTATAGAGGTGGATCTCGTCGATTTCGTTCCATCGATTCGCGTACAAACCAGAAAATATTCTTAAGGGATTCGAGATATCGGATTTTGAAATTGTAAACGATCGATTTTGATAAAGATCGGATCGATGGTAAGATATTGGTAAGGGAAAGATAAGATTTTCTATTCATTAACGGTCGTCCAATTTCAACAAAGAGCCGTCGTCCAATTTGATCAATTAGGAGTGGGAAAAAGGCGTTGCCACTTTCACGGGAAAACATCGCCCTTTTTTCCTTCCGTCGCTTTCTCCCGAACGAGGGTGCCAAGACAATGACAATGGTTTCCAAGCAAAAAGAATACGAACAATACCGTGGATGACAGCACAACTCACGATCACAATGTCTCACGGATTCTATCTGCTAATTGCTCTCTCGATACCCTTCCTTTTTCTCCTAAGAAGAAATTCAATTTCATCGACGCGTCTTCGATACTCTTTCACTTCGAGTCCACTCTTTCATTTCGAAACTCTCGTTGTGCAATTGTATTCGATGGCCACTTTTCAATTTGATTGAAACAAACAACATTCACGTGGCGTTAAACGGATCCCAGCTACGAAGAACGGGTGTCTAATCATGGGAAACTCGAGTGGCGGCATATGTCGCAGAGAGGAGTCAATTAACCGACGGATCGGCGTAACAGGGCTGGTGTGTGGGAATCGAGTGATTTTTTGAATCAACAAACATAAATCAAGTGTTTCCGCGGCCGGGTCGTTTCAGCGGAGGGTTACCCGTTGACCACCCACGGCTACTCGGTGTCATAGTCACGGTGGCCCCGTGCACGGGAATATTTCGCCACCAGGGTGACCAGGAGGGTTGAACGGTGGCGACAATTACGTGTTTAGGGGGCACACAAGGGGTGGCACCCGTGGGACGATCTATCGGAGCGTGGTGGCGCGTGCCACGGCAATTCGACACTCGAGGATCATCGACACGCGAGTACGTTGCATTATGCGTGTGCCGACGTTTAACGTAGCTCGCTGTCCACGCTTATGACTCCATTGTCCGATCGTAGATCCTAACTTTTGGGGGAATCGGAAACGGGGACGAGCTTGCTTTTTATGCGTAATCGAGTTTTTTACGCGTCGATCACTTATGCGTTGTAATTGTCGTCGTTTAAAACATTCGTTTTTTTTTTAAGTATTATGTTATAATTACGATTCGAATAGATTAAAATGGGAGGAAAGATTAGGTAAAAGGTAGAAGATTGTTAAATTTGAATTGCACGGAAATAATGGAACTCGTGTTGTACATAACAGTTTGAAATTATCATTGCTTTTGCACTTAATGGAGGAAATTATATGGATAATTATAATTGTTGCGTTTAATCGATATGTATATGTCTGATTGCAAAGGTTTTAAATACTTAAGTTTTACGAGATAATAAATATTTGTTTATCTTACCAGTCTAGCTAGATCCGTTGTCGTAACTGGTACTTCTTGATCCTGATTCATTCTTGCCCCCCCCTTTCAGACTTCTATTTTTCCAAAAGCGTTTGTCACAAATTTCACGAAAATATCACGGGTTATCGACAGACCGAACAGATCACACGAACTGTCCCGTAATTTAAAAGTCACGTTACTGCACCGTCAAGATCAAAGATAGAACTGAGACGAGTGATTTGATCTCAGTGAACAGTGAAAAGACGGGGTGTATGCATCGGGGGTTGTGTCTATGGTACGTCTACGCCCACAACGTGGTAGAGAAATCAGCCCTGCGCGGGCTACCCTGACTAGGGGTTGCTTCCAACCACTGCTCGGTAGGCGGGGCCTTAAAATCATTGGTGACCTTCTCTTAATACTACAGAGCTTTGTGCTTCGACAACACCTACGAGAACACCTCTTTTCGTTCGGATTCTTTGTTAATCTTGCGATTCGTTTTCCTAACTCCACAATGTCCTATGTTCTGAATAGCATTTTCAAGAATGAAAAAAATTTCAATTCATTTTTAATAAGTGAGTTCTTATTTCAAATATATTTCTCCATTCTTTAATATCTTTCGAATTTAATATGAACCTTTTTAAGGGAAAAATAATTGGGCGATAAATGAATTGGATTATATTGTTACATACAATAATATAATGATGATTAAATATTGATTTCATTTTTATTATGTTTATTATATTTCGTAACATAAAACATGGAATTTGCACATACGTATGATAACTTAGGAATCCTCTTGATCGTTTTCCCTCGGTTGATAAATTTGCATTGTACGATTCACTTATAATCGATAATTTGTAATCAAAAGATTACAACAATGCAATATATTATCAAATTCAATAAGTATAAAAATATAAATTAAAAAGAATATCAATCGTACGATTGATTAAAATTTCTTTATTTTTTCCAAGATAAATATTTCAATTTGCGATTTCTAACTTAACGGGCATGGACAAAATAGAGATATAGACGAATGTCATTCAACCATGTCATAGGATTATATTTTTCGTAAATATAATTTTTTACTCATTTTAGCGTTGGAAATAATTTTCGCCTCAATCTTTAAAATTATAAAGTGTAAGATTTTTCTTTATTTGTATCTTTGAATGATAATATTGTGTATGTAATTACGGCTCACCGTGGTAGATGGCGTAGAGAGATTGATCTTTCTTTTGTCGGTATTTCAGAACATATTGTTCTAAAGATAAAAGATCGTGTCAATCTGTTTCTTGTCAGTACTTCGGTTGTTCTAACACGATTCTTCTAAAACTCAATGAAAACTTAAATTAACTTAATGTACATCTTAATACTAAATGCTAAATCTATCTTACATATTATACTTAAAACTAGAACTTATATCTAAAACGCACGCATTTTACTATATTATTTTATTTACATCGAATAATAAATTATAATAAAAATACTAATTAACTAATACCTGTATCAAGAATATTCTAGTCTCATTTAAGAAAAGAGGAGAAAGATAAGGTTACTAAAATTTTGTTAAAAATTAAAAAAATAATATAAAAATAATAAAGGTTTAACCAGAATATTCTTGTTCAGATTTTATTAGTACCTTCAGTCTAGTTCATTGATAATTAATCAAAATAATTAAAAGAAATCATATTTTAGACTAAACTAGACTGAAAGTGTGCGTAGTTCTTGGCTTGCCATCGTTTTTCGAAAATTATTAATGATGAAATATAATTCAAAGTATTTCGAAAAATTTTTAATGGAATATTTATAAGATATTTTTTCAAATATAAAATTTGAAAAGCGATGCCAATTACCGGATCCCACCAACGAGGAGGTGACTACGCATCGAGACCCATTTTTTTTTTTTTAAATTTACTTAACAAAAAAGTTTATACATTAAAATGACACAATTTAATACTTATAAACTAAATCTTAAACGTAGAAAAAAAATTTATTACAATTTGTTACAAATTTCTAAATTTCAACTTAATCTGAATCTTAATACTAAATCTTAAATCTATCTTACATTATAGTTAAATCTAGGACTTAACTTTAAAACGCACACATCTTACCATTTATATCGAATTTGATAAATTATAATAAAAATATCAAAATCTGTGTCCCACATTGTTGTTCAACATCATCCATCGATAAAGTCTTAAATCATTTATGTTGAATATAATAAATTATAACATATATATATATTGAAATCTATATTGGTTATCGTTGTCCAACGTTGTCCATCGATGAATTTCTAAATTTACTTAATCTAAATCTTAATACTAAATCTTAAATCTATCTTATATTATACTTAAAACTAGGACTTAAATCTAAAACGCACGCATCTTATCATTTACGTGGAATATAATAAATTATAACGAAGAAATTAAAATCTATATCTCACGTTGTTTATCATTATCCAACGTCGTCCAACGTCTTCCAATGTTGTTCATTGATGAAGTCTTAAATTAACTTAATCTAGATCTTAAATCTATCTTACATTATACTTAAGACTAGGACCTAAATCTAAGATGCATGCATCTTATCATTTACATTGAATATAATAAATTACAGTAAAAATATTAAAATTTAAATCTTAATACTAAATCTTAAATCTATCACATTAATACTAATCTTACATTATACTTAAAACTAGGACTTATATCTAAAACGCACGCATCTTATCATTTACATCGAATAATAAATTATAATAAAAATACTAATTAACTAATACCTGTATCAAGAATATTCTAATCTCATTTAAAAAAACAGGAGAAAGATAAGGTTATTAAAATTTTGTTAAAAATTAAAAAAATAATATAAAAATAATAAAGGTTTAACCAGAATATTCTTGTTCAGATTGTATTAGTACCTTCAGTCTAGTTCATTGATAATTAATCAAAATAATTAAAAGAAATCATATTTTAGACTAAACTAGACTGAAAGTGTGCGTAGTTCTTGGCTTGCCATCGTTTTTCGAAAATTATTAATGATGAAATATAATTCAAAATATTTCGAAAAATTTTTAATGAAATATTTGCAAGATATTTTTTTAAATACAAAATGTAAAAAGCGATGCCAATTACCGAGGTGACTACGCATTGAGACTCACGTAAACCTAAACAAGTAAAAAAAAAAAAAAAACAAAATTAGTGATTAACAAATTAATATAGATATAGAAATTATAAAAAAATATAAAAGATACAACAAAAAGATATCCTGTAATCATAAATCTAAAACATAAATTTAAAACTTTACATTGGTTTACAAAAATTTTTTACATTTATCGCAATTTTTCGCACGCAATTAATCCCACGTCGTCCAACGATGAGGCTTAAATTTAAAACTTAATCTATATTCTTAATACTACATCTTAATAATAAATATATCCTACTGGCATCATTCGTACTAAAGATAAGCTTCTATTTAAAGCAGAATAAAAAAAAAAAGAGAAAAAGAAATAAATGGATTGGAAATATGTAATATAATTTATTTTATGTTAAGAAGCGTATCTTTTTACGGAATGTGCTCACAATAAACTTCTAATCTAAATGTCTATCTTACATTAAACTTAAGCTAAGACTTAAATTTAAGACTTAAAATTTATTTAAATCTTAAATTTAATTTTAAATTAAAACGTAAACATTTTAAAAAATTATATACAGAATAAATAGATTAAAAATTATAAATATAAAAAAAAATGAATTTTAATTTTGATATTTTACATAGGAATTCCGAATATTTATTCAACTATTTCAAATATACAGAAATACTGACAAATTTTATTCAATTTTAGCGAAATTGTAAAGAAAAATTTAATTTTAATTTTGACAACGAATAATTATTTGTCATTTATTCTGAATAAATCAATTGTGTTTGTATCAACATATCGTAGTAAGAATATTAATTTATAATATTAAATAAATTAATATTCTTACCGCATAATGCAAAATTTTAAGTAATACTATGAGAGTTTAAAATTCAAATGAATAAACATTTTAGCAGTATTTTCATTAACAAATGCTCTAATATTTAGGGGCGCTGAAAAAGAAAGATAGCCAGAAAAGGCTATACGGATCACACTTGTGATCCAAAAACAGGATCCAATTTCCACGACGTTAGTGGAAAAATTATGGGCATTTTATAAACGCAACACTACTTTCAAAAACGCGATCATTTTTCAACGCAACACTACTTTCAAAAACGCGATTATTTTTTGTCGCAACACTAATTCTTAAAATGAATTTAATATAAATACAAACGAATTGAAAGTTAATATCTCTATAATTAAAACTCGAAATAAAATAAACGTAAAACTTTTTTAATACTACTTTTTAAAAAAAATTATATCATTAAAATTAAAAAAAATCGCGATGTCTCATAAAACGCAACGCTAAAGCAAACGCGATCGTTATTTATACGCAACTCTAATGCAAACCGTAATTTATTTGTCGCAACACTAATTAAAAAATCGCGATTGCCCATGATGATGTACGTTGGGCCGGAATTCACATCGGCCATAAATACTACTACTACTACATACTACTACTACTATTACTACTACTACAGACTCTAAAACGAGCATAGTAACAAAGTAGTAACAATGACTTCCCATTCTTTGAATCGAAAAAAAGATCCAAAAAATGACAAGTCATTCGTTGCAGCCCCTCTTCGTGACAGTTTGTCGGAGCCTCTTCGGTCTTCCTCCTTCGGGCGCGATGCCCGCTGAAACTTAAATCTAAGCTCGAGATTTCCTGATCGACGAAATAAAATAAAAAGAAAAAATAGACTAAATCGCGGAAGCTGAGTGCACATGGACGACCAATAGCCATTACCGACCATTGTCCGCACATGCGCAGAATCTCGAGCGCAACGTTCGTTTCGCCCACTTCGCGACCGCGACCGCGAAATTCGAAAAATCGATAGAAGTAAAACCAGAAACGAGTGTCATCATCGATGACCACTCGTCTCAGCTCCACTCTCGATTTTTCAAATTATATTTCCTGAAACAGGTTGTCACGCGAAAACGCGCCTACCCGACCAGAGACTGTGACAACCTGCCCGGCCCTACCTACTTACAATTAACAAACATACCAGAAGTATGCTACCTATCCTACCTAGCGCTATATTTAAAAAATGGCAAAACAGGCACACCAACACATTCACTCCACGGTTCTCACGCATTACACCCGGGCGCAAAAAGCCTACACTAGGGAGAGCGTCCCGGGACGCCTCCGACACCCGAGCTTAATACCACTTTCACACTCTAAATTTACGTACCATTTTCCTGAAATCGACTGACGATGGCTGATGATCATTGCGTATCTCGATTTTAATTATCAATAAAATTTAATAAATTTGGTATCAATTTACAATTTATAATTTTATAGTAATATCGACGAAATTGTAAATTGTATGATTGTATAATAAATAGAAATCAGAATCGTAACGACGCAATTCCACACCCTAACCACACACACACACAATGTGGAAATACGTCGTGCACGATCATTAACTCATCGTCAGTCGCCGATAAAAACTTATAAACTATGGTCATCGTGCCCAATTGCCTCTCTCTCACCCAAGTAACACCTGGGCACGTGCTAAAGAAAACGCGATCGTTATTTATACGCAACTCTAATGCAAACCGTAATTTATTTGTCGCAACACTAATTAAAAAATCGCGATTGCCCATGATGATGTACGTTGGGCCGGAATTCACATCGGCCATAAATACTACTACTACTACATACTACTACTACTATTACTACTACTACAGACTCTAAAACGAGCATAGTAACAAAGTAGTAACAATGACTTCCCATTCTTTGAATCGAAAAAAAGATCCAAAAAATGACAAGTCATTCGTTGCAGCCCCTCTTCGTGACAGTTTGTCGGAGCCTCTTCGGTCTTCCTCCTTCGGGCGCGATGCCCGCTGAAACTTAAATCTAAGCTCGAGATTTCCTGATCGCGAAAAAAAAAAAAAGAAAAAAATAGACTAAATCGCGGAAGCTGAGTGCACATGGACGACCAATAGCCATTACCGACCATTGTCCGCACATGCGCAGAATCTCGAGCGCAACGTTCGTTTCGCCCACTTCGCGACCGCGACCGCGAAATTCGAAAAATCGATAGAAGTAAAACCAGAAACGAGTGTCATCATCGATGACCACTCGTCTCAGCTCCACTCTCGATTTTTCAAATTATATTTCCTGAAACAGGTTGTCACGCGAAAACGCGCCTACCCGACCAGAGACTGTGACAACCTGCCCGGCCCTACCTACTTACAATTAACAAACATACCAGAAGTATGCTACCTATCCTACCTAGCGCTATATTTAAAAAATGGCAAAACAGGCACACCAACACATTCACTCCACGGTTCTCACGCATTACACCCGGGCGCAAAAAGCCTACACTAGGGAGAGCGTCCCGGGACGCCTCCGACACCCGAGCTTAATACCACTTTCACACTCTAAATTTACGTACCATTTTCCTGAAATCGACTGACGATGGCTGATGATCATTGCGTATCTCGATTTTAATTATCAATAAAATTTAATAAATTTGGTATCAATTTACAATTTATAATTTTATAGTAATATCGACGAAATTGTAAATTGTATGATTGTATAATAAATAGAAATCAGAATCGTAACGACGCAATTCCACACCCTAACCACACACACACACAATGTGGAAATACGTCGTGCACGATCATTAACTCATCGTCAGTCGCCGATAAAAACTTATAAACTATGGTCATCGTGCCCAATTGCCTCTCTCTCACCCAAGTAACACCTGGGCACGTGAGTGAGATCGTGGCAATGAGCACGGAAGGGGTTAAACCTGAAAATCCTGAGCTAAAAAAATATTATAAGTATCTATTTTTTTCTCTAACGGACTAATACTCTTTATTTTATCATCTATTTTTACTTCTACTACTATAGAGAAGAAAAAGAAAAAATTAGAAATAAATAAGAAATTTATTTATATTGCAAGAAATACTAAATGCAAAAAAAAAATAATTGAATTAAAGTTAATATAATAATAGATATAAAAAAACCTCAGACGATTCCTTCATCAAAACATAGTTTCGAAAATAAAAAACAAATATTCAATATTATTGTTTTGATTGCGAAATCTATCTGTCGCGATATATCTTCTTGCACATTTTTGTATTATCACGAGGGAAATAAAATTAAAAATTTTATATTTCGTATCATATCAAATTTTATATTTCGTATCGATTGTTAATTGAAAATCGAATAATTAAAAAATATTATTATTATTGTATAAAGCAAAATGTAAAAAAAGAATAGAAAATTTTTATTTAAAAAACGCGATGTGCAAGAAGATCTAGCCTGAGCTAATAAATAAAACACAGAAAATGTTACTACTCACGGGTATAATAAATATACCCGTGGTCACTATGCTCGTTGCAAAAATCTACGTATACAACCAGTCACTCGTGTCGATTCGGACCTTTCGTCCTACGACATGATTGAGTGACCGGAGGAACATAAATGCATGCGACTCACCCTTTGATGCGAAGAATATTGGCAATCTGTAGGAGGATGTTGCAAAATATCTGTAACAAAAAGCGAAACAACATAATTTAAAACATAATCCAGATTGTTTGAAAAAATTGAAGTAGAAAAAAAAAAGATGAAACTTTACTAAAATAATATTAATAGTAAAGTAAAATTTGAAATTCGAATGTACTTTAATAAAAATAAAAATTAAGACTCTGATATAAAAATTCTAAATTTAAAAAATCTAATGATTTTATATTGAAATAGAAAAATAAGAATTTAAATAAAATGAAAGATAATTACCTCTTCGCGTGATGGATGACCGCCTTATTTTCTTGAGAGAAACACTGATTTTATACGAGTTATTTAAGCACACAGTCTTTTAGCGCGACCGATTAAATTAAATTCGGTGAGCAAACACTGATTCTAATTTCGCGTTATTCATTAAAGAATTTAAAAAAACTTTTACGAAAGCAAACACTGACTCTAATGACCGCATTGCGCGCGATTACAAAAATTTACTGAAAATAAAATTGTATTAATAGGGAAGGGTGGGGTAGAAAAAGAAGTAAAATATTCTTTGATATTTTTCCTTCTTTTTCTTTCTTCTTTCAAACATTTGTTTAAGAAAATACTGCTATGAGTTATAAAATACTTTTTTTATATTCAGAAATGTTTATGAATTATTAATTTGGAAAAATTACGTTATTATTATTCGCTGTCAAAATTTAGATTATAGTTAATCATAATAAATTATATCACGAATTATAAATATTCGAAATTTTTTGCAAAATAATCAAAATTTTACAAGTTAAGCATACAATAATAAATTAAACTTAAACTTAAAAACTTAAAACTAGTGTAGTTCTTAGCTTGGCATCAGTTTTCAAAAACTAATCATTCTAATATAATTCTAATTCTAATAACATTTTTAATGTAATATTTCCAATAATTAGACCAAATAATATAAAATGAAAACCGATGCCAATTACCGGGTCTCACCAACGAGGAGGTGACTACTATGTCGAGACCCATATAATTATTATATAAATATAATTATTATATATAAATTCTAACAATGTATTTATACAATTTATAACAATTTATAACAATTATAACAATTATATAATTTATATACAATTTATAATAATTATAACAATGTATTATAACAATTTATATATATTAACAATTTATAACAATTTATATATAAATTAAATGTTAAAACAAATTAAATGTTTATATGAAACATTGAAAATTATTGAACATTAAAAAAAAAATTATAAATTAAAATCTAAATCAAATTAAAAATTTAAAAGATAAAATTAAAGATTGAAAATTAAACCAAATTAAAAATTTTAACTAAAATAAAATTTTAAAATTAAAATTAAAATTAAAAATTCAAGTAGATAAAAAATTAATAAATATAAATGAAATTGAAATATTAAAGAAAAAGTAAAGTAAAAATTAAAATTTATAAATTAAAATAAATTGAAAGTAAAATAAAATAAAATTAAAAAGCAAATATTTAAAATTTGAAATAGAAATTGAAAGATAAAGTAAAATAAAAATAAAATAAAAATTAAAAATGAAAAATTAAATTAAAATAATTAAAAATTTAAAATAAAAACTTTAAACAAAAAATTTGAAATTTAAAAATTAAAAATTAAATCAAAATAATAGAATTAGAAATTTAAAGTAAAAAATACAAAAAATTTAAACAAAAAATTGAAATTTAAAAATTAAAAATAAAAGGAAATTAAAAATTTGAAGTTAATTAAAAATTAAATCAAAATAATCAAATTAAAAATTTAAAATAAAGAATTCAAAAAATTTAAACAAAAATTTAAAATTTAAAAATTAAAAGTAAAAAAAATTAAAAATTTGAAGTTAATTTAAATTAAAAATTAAAAATTAAAAATTAGATAAAATAAAAAGTAAAAACAAAAAAAGAATGTACATATAATAAATATAAGAATAATTAATAAAAAATTATTCTCTATGTTGTAAAATTTCAATTGAAATTAATAAATAAATTCGACGTGTTCGCGACGCGAGTTCGATAGGAAATGAGCGTCCCCGCTCGTCTTGTCCTCTATTTATACCAGCCCGAAGCGAACCGAAGTCGAACGAAAATATACGACCTTTTCCGATTCTATCAAAATAAATTTCTCGAATATATTAATCAACGATTTATCAATTTTTAGATTTTTATTGTTAATTTATTGTTAATTTAGGAATTTAATAACAATTTTTAATATTTTTATTGTTAATTTATTAATAATAATAATTTATATTTTAATTGTGGATTTAATAACATATTAGAATATTATATATAATAATTAAAATATATATTTTTACGAAATAAAGTAAAATTTTGTATTCTATAACATTAATTTTCGATTTAAAATTATTAAAAATTATTAAAAATTAAAATTTGAAAAATTTTTTCTCAATATTTTATAAAATTATAAAATAATTATATATATAATTATATATAATAGCCACGAATGGATTTACATGATCAATAATTCAATAAATTTTAAACTTTTATTCTAATTTATTTACCTATTAATTTATTACGATAATAGATATAACAAATCGCACATATTTTTATAAATTAGATTTATAAAATAAGATTTTATGATTATTTATTATAAGATATTTATTATAATTAATAAGATTTTATGATTTTTTTGATCTTTTATTATAGTATAATATATAATTAAAATAATAAAAAATTAAATATTGAAAGATAAATTAAAAATTAAATCAAAAAAGAATTTAAAGTAAAAATACAAAAAATTTAATTAAAATTAAAAGGAAATTAAAAAGTTAAAGTTAATATAAATTAAAAATTAAAAAATATAAATTAAATAAAATAAAAAGTAAAAACAAAAAAGGAAGAATGTATATATAAGAATAAATATAAGAATAAATAATAAAAAATTATTCTGTATATTGCAAAATTTCAATTAAAGTGTTATAATTTCGTTAACTTTTATGTTATATTCTCTTCTTATATTTCTATATTTTTTCATTATTTATTATATTAATAATAAAAATTAACAATAAAAAAAGAATTTAACAGAAATATATTTTTTCAATTTAATAAATACATGTCCAAAATTCTATTTATATTCTTTGAATTTTTCTTTTTTTCTTTTTTTCTTTATATGTAAATCTTTACAGAATTTGAATTTTGCAAGCAACAACAATTAATATGTTATATTATATTATGTTATATTATATTTCAATTTTTCGCGCGATTTTTAAATGAAAAAAATTAGCATCATGAGTCAACCAATCAGAACGTGGTTTAATTCGTGACGCGGAACGAATCAGTGCGCATCGGAGTGCGCATCGGAGTGCGCAACGTTGTGCGCATTACATTGCGCATGTCGTCAGTCTACAGTTGAAAATTGTGTGGAGTGGACGTATCGTTGCAAATTCGGATTACGCAGTAAGTTATTTTACTCTTATTATTACCAAATTTATCAATTATTACTAATTTAGTTTTTTAAATAATCCACTCAGTATAGTGAAAGCGAAATTAATTAGTTTTTTGCGTATCTTTGTGTCTTTTCCTTCGATTGTTCATTTTATGTCATTAACGTTCCGTATCGAAATATTTCGAGACAAAATTTGAAATCGTATATTGATTTTTTTTATAATTTTAATAATATAATTTTAATTGTATACATTTATTTTACAATTTCTCTTATCATTTTATTTTTATTAAAATAAAAGAAATTTTTTACGGTTCGTTACGTATTTATTTCGTGAAATCGTATTATTCGAATATTTTTCCAAATATATATTGTGTACAATATTTCGCTTGTATGTTCATTGTTTGTTTTTCTTGGTCTATCGTTTATATTTTTCTCGAGGCTAGAAACATTTCTTATGATATTTCATTTCTAAGAAATTGGATTCGTGTTCAAACATATTTCGGCTTGTCGAATCCCCTCCATCCCTCTCCATCTTATTCTTCGATGCGCGAAATGGAAACGCAGTGATATTGTTCGTTAATTCGTCGTGACGATTAGACGTTTGAAATTTTTTCGAGACGTGTGTTCTATTTATTACATAGTATTTAAATATTATTTTTTTTCATAATTACTTTTGTTATTCTTTGTGAGTTAATTAATACATCTTTATTGAATATTTTATTCAGCATTATTAGAATTGATAATTTTTTGACAATTAAATAATTTTGAATTTCTCGTTTATCATATCGTTCAAGTGTCGAATTACAAAATGGTTTATATTGTGAGTTTTTGTTTGATTTGATTGTTGTGAATTCTTTAACATAATCTAATTTCATATATATTATTCATTTATTTAGAAGTTTTGATTTTTTTCTGCGCAGGTTTAATTGGCAGCATTATGGTAATATTCTCGAAGGCGGGAAAAATTCCAATATGGACGCCATGTCTTTCTTGACAATTTTCTTTCGTGGTAAAATTTCGTATGTATAAATTTTTATTCTGTTTTATTGGATTATTAGTGATTGTTGTTAAAAGCAATTCATGATAAAATTACATTTTAATTAAAAGAAAGTGAAAAAATTAAAAATTTATGAGAAACTTTAATGATTTATCATTGGAAATTAAAATTTTAAAATCTGATAACAAACATTTTATTAAATTTCAGATATTAATAAATAATTGGTAACATTTTTATCATAATTCGTAATCAATTAAAATAAAAAGGCAGTATTTTCAGAACAAATGCTCGCTAAGAAGAAGAAGAAAAATATCAAAAAGATATTGCTTCTTCTTCTATCATTTCCCATCCATCTACTAATTTAATGTTAATTTCAGAAAATATTGTGATCGCGCGCAATGCGGTTAATAGAATCAGTGTTTGTTTCGTCATAGTATTTTGAATATTTTTTTTAGAACACAATAGCTCTGATTAAATTTTAATTAGAATAATTAGAATCAAACGCGAAGATAGAATCAGTGTTTGTTCGCCGATTATAATTTATACGGACGCGTTATTAGTTTCTTATTTTTTATTTTTTCTTTTATTCTAAATATTCGTTTTCGGTACAGCATAAAATCAGTGCTTCTCTCAAGAGAATATGGCGATCATCCATCACGCGAAGAGGTAATTATTCTTTTATCTATCTAAATTTTTATTCTTCTGAATAGAAGTTAAATAGAATTTCAATATCATTATTACATATTGCATATTAAATAGTTTCGTATTTCACTTTTTTTAAATAATCAGAACCGTGTTTTAAATTATGATGTTTTATCCACAGATTTCTTCCATTTCTTTTACCTGATGACAATCTTCTTCTCGATGACTTCTGGGCTGTAATAACAGTGAAGGTGTTCGCATCATATGGTGAGTCGCATGCTTTTTGGTTCCTCCAGTCATTCAACCATGTCGTAGGATGAAAGGTCCGAATCGACACGAGTGATTGGTTGTATACGTAGAATTTTGCACGAGCACAATGACCGTGGGTATTTATTATAAATAAATACCCGCGAGTAGTAACAATTATTTCTTTTGTGTTTTATTTATTAGTTCAGGCTAGAGTCTTCTTACGCTTCGCGTTTTTGATTAATATAAAATATTTAGTAATTTTCTAATGCCAAAACATATAATAATTAGTTTGAATTTCTTAATTCAATATAATTCAAAATCCTTCAGAGTAATATTTTAAGTTATTTGATCAATTTGATTACTGTGATTGTCATCAACTTCAATATGATTTACAACAGTGACAGATAATAAAGTTCAATTTTTACTCGTACAAATATGAATTAAATTTTGTGCAAGAAGACATTTCGCGACAGGCAGATTTTGGAATCAGAGCAATAAGTTTTGATTATTATTCTTCTGGTTTTGAAAATATGCTCTGATGAAGGAGTCACCTGAGGGTATTTCTATTAATATTTATATTAAATTACAATGAATTCCTTTTTAAATTCAATATTAAAAATTTAATATGCTAAAATTTCAATACTTTGTTCAATTAATGAAATAACATATAAAATAGTCACAAATAATTTGAAATATACAATATAATTTATATAATTATATAATTTGAAATATATAATGCAAAGAATATTAGTCCGTTAGATGCAAAATGAATATATTAATATCATTTTAGCTCAGGATTTTCAGGTTTAACCCTTTCCATGTTCATTGCCAGGAACTCACTCACGTGCCCAGGTGTTACTTGAGTGAGGGAGAGACAATGAGTATGATGATCTTAGCTTATAAGTTAATACAAATTTTTTAGCGACTGACGATGCGTTAGTGTATCGTGCACGACGTACTTTCCATATTGTGTGTGTGTGTGTTAGGCTGTGGAATTGCGTCGTTTCAATTATTATATTTTTCGCTATTCAATCACAATTTACAATCACAATTAAATATTGCAAATAAGTATAAGTAATAAATATAAGCAAGATTACTAATCTCAAATTACAAATATACAAATAATTGTACAATTTTGGTTCACAATAATGGTTACAATAATGATGCCATTTAGTCTGGTGACTAGTATTTTAAAAAATATAACATATTCATAAATGTTCACGAGTAAAATATAGATACACGCGTTTTTGTCGCGTTTCACGCAATGATCGCTAGCCATCGTCAGTCGATTTCAGGAAAATGGTACGTAAAGTTAGAGTGTGCGAGTAGTGTGCCAAGCTCGGGTGTCGGAGGTGTCCCGGGACGCTTTCCCTAGTGTAGGCTTTTGCGCCCGAGTATTATGCGTGAGAATCGTGGAATGAGTGTGTTGGTATGCCTGTTTTGCCATATTTTTTAAATATAGGGCTAGGTAGGATAGGTAGCATACTTCTGGTGTGTCTGTTTAATTATAAGTAGGTAGGGCCGGGCAGGTTGTCACAGTCTCTGGTCGGGTAGGCGCGTTTTCGCGTGACAACCTGTTTCAGGGAATAAAATTTGAGGAATCGAGGGCGAAGCTGAGACGAATGGACGACAGTGCCATTCGTCTCTGGCTTTGTTCATTGATTTTTCGAATTTCGCGGTCGCGGTCGTGATTTGCTTTCGAAACGAACGTTGCGCTCGAGATTCTGTGCATGAACGGAGAACGATCATTGCGATCGTTGGTCGTCCATGTGCACTCAGCTTCCGCGATTTAGTCCTTTTTCTTTTCTTTTTTTCTTTGGTTTGCGATCAGTGAATCTCGAGCCTAGATTTAAGTTTCAGCGGGCATCGCGCCCGAAGGAGGAAGACCGAAGAGGCCCGACAAACTGTCACGAAGAGGGCTGCAACGAATGATTTCTCATCTTTTGGATCTTGTCTGGATCCAAAGAATGGGAAATCATTGTTACTACTTTGTCATTGTGCTCGTTTTAGTAATACGTAGTTTATGTTGTTGTATCGTATCCGGCCATTTTGCATGCTGGCCCATCGTTATGCCTGTTTTGCCATATTTTTTAAATATAGGGCTAGGTAGGATAGGTAGCATACTTCTGGTGTGTCTGTTTAATTATAAGTAGGTAGGGCCGGGCAGGTTGTCACAGTCTCTGGTCGGGTAGGCGCGTTTTCGCGTGACAACCTGTTTCAGGGAATAAAATTTGAGGAATCGAGGGCGAAGCTGAGACGAATGGACGACAGTGCCATTCGTCTCTGGCTTTGTTCATTGATTTTTCGAATTTCGCGGTCGCGGTCGTGATTTGCTTTCGAAACGAACGTTGCGCTCGAGATTCTGTGCATGAACGGAGAACGATCATTGCGATCGTTGGTCGTCCATGTGCACTCAGCTTCCGCGATTTAGTCCTTTTTCTTTTCTTTTTTTCTTTGGTTTGCGATCAGTGAATCTCGAGCCTAGATTTAAGTTTCAGCGGGCATCGCGCCCGAAGGAGGAAGACCGAAGAGGCCCGACAAACTGTCACGAAGAGGGCTGCAACGAATGATTTCTCATCTTTTGGATCTTGTCTGGATCCAAAGAATGGGAAATCATTGTTACTACTTTGTCATTGTGCTCGTTTTAGTAATACGTAGTTTATGTTGTTGTATCGTATCCGGCCATTTTGCATGCTGGCCCATCGTTCATCCAGTCATCATGGGCAAATCGCGATTTTGCATTAGTGTTGCGATTGATTAATAACGGGTTGAATTAGAGTTGCGATAAAATGATAATCGCGTTTACTATTAGCGTTGCGTTGAAAAGGATATCATGGTTGCTTTTAATTATTTTCATTATGAATTAGTTTATTCTTTTTTCTTTTAATATAAATTTGATTTTATTCTATAATGTAATTACGATTTATGATATTTGAAGTAGCTTTTTAGATTTATAAATAATAGTAAATTTTATATTAAGTTCATTTGAAGAATTAGTGTTGCGTTGATGAAAGATCGCGTTTTTTTATAATAGTGTTGCGTTTATTTGCCCAAATTGCCCATATTTTTTCCACTTGGACTGTGGAAATACGTTCCAGCTTCTGAATCACCTATTACAGCCCAAAAGGCTGTACAAAGAGTGATTGTATGACGGCAGTCTCTGACTATGGCTGCAATCTTTCGCTATTAGAGTTTCGTATATATTTTCGCGAATTTTTTATCTTTTTTTTTTAATCTTTTTTTTTTGTTGATGAAGAATTGCATCGAAAGTTTAATGAAGCACTCTTCGCGTTTTCTTTTAAGATTTTAGCATATTAGTGTTGCAAAATAGAAAAAAATTCCACTCACGGTTATTCGGATTTAAATTGAGTGGATAATTATTTTGGTAACCCTTCTGGTTACCTTTTCGTCGTTTTTCTCTTTTCAGCATTTCCTTAGTAAGAGCGTTTGTTATTGAAAATATTGTTAAAAAATGTATTTTTTTCTTATCGATGAATATCTTTTATTTAAAATAATGAATTGCTTAACAAAATTTTGATTTTTTTTTAAATTAATCTTTCTTTTCCTATATGTAAATTATTTTTTAATTACTAATTCCGGTTATTGAGTTTGTTACAGGTATGAAGAATTAAAGAAAATAAACAGGAAAAAATAGACAGGAAATAATGTGTGATTCTCTAGAAATTAATCACCTTTGTTATTGTTGTTATTTCACTAATTCTGTTGTATAATTTGTTTCAGGAATTTTCTTCAGATTTCAATAGAATGGATTATCTCATCATCAGATAAATATTCTAATTTTTTTATATTAGGTAGGGTAGATTATAGGAAATACTTAGCTTTTTGATAGATGGGATTTATAAACGATGTTCTGTTCTTCTTCTTCTTTTTATTAAAAAAAGCAACCTCGCTTTCCCTATTCTGATTCGTTTTTCAAACCAATATTTCCTATTTTTCAAGGCAATATGATCATTTTGCCATCCTTAATTCCTTAATTTCCTCATTACAAACATAAGTATTTGATACTTATGTGATTTTGTTCACTAGCCATTATTGGTATATACTGATTTCCTCTTGTGGTTTTATGTCCTATCATAAATTTTTTGAAAATTGTGTGTCATCAGTGTGAATGTAAATATAATGAATATTGATATGAAGAGAATTTGTTAGATGTTCAATAGATAGAATTAGAAACAAAATATTTAAATTCTTATATAGACAGAGAATATGAAAAAAAAACTTTTAGAATAAGTAAAATGTTAATATTATATTTTTAATTTGTTCAGAATTAATATTAAGTTTGTTTCAGGATTGCTTATAGCAGAGCAAAAGATTGTATAATTGATTAATGAATATGTATTTAGAATTAAATGCATGCATCAAGGTATCAAATAAAGTAATGTATTGTAGAAAAGTAGATACTGTAGATAAATAGATGGGTAAAATGTTGTAATGTTTTCTGAGAAGCTTACTTCGCTTATTTCGCTTACTTTTTCTTTTTTTTTTTGTCGCACGCTTTTTACTATCAATCATTTTTCATTTTCATGCCAATGGAAGTGTAAAATATTGATAGAAAGTCTTTTAATTTAAATTCTATTTTCAGATTTAGTCTTCCGTTTATTTTTCTAATTCCTTTTGTTGCTCGTGTTGCACAATGATCAAAAGTTTGAATATTTGTCAAACAACGTTTGTACATTAGAAGGAGAATTATTTATTTAAAAATAATAAATTTTTACGCCAAAGGATAGGCTTGGATCTCTAATCCATAACTTTCATATGAACAATCCTTGTGAGATCTGGGCAATCGTTATTATTCGATATACAATATATAATTATATTATTATATAGTTAATCTGTAATACGATTATATATTATATAAGAGAATTATAAAATTATGTAAGTTAATTGGTTGCAATCGCAATTTTGTAGCAATTATGTTTTCTTAGTAGATTTATTAAGTAGAGTGTTAAAATTTTCTTTTTTCTTTTTTTTTTTTTTTGAGGTCGGTATTTCAGAATATGAACTTAAAACCTTAAGATATCACGTCTATCTTATCTTATCTATGGTTCATTCTACAATGTCGTCTGTTGATATTACTATTTATCAACTCAAAGATACTGTAAGCGGCATCTTTCGGAACTTTTTACTACAATGATGTTTCACGAAATCATTCAGGGATTTCGCTGCTATCTGAATACATTTTCGAGAATATATGCGCAGAATTTTAGATCAGATTTTCTTTGATTCTCATTCTTTCTCTCTTGTGCGTTTAATTTTTTTTTACGCAAACCAATGACTCTACATTATTGAATGGAACCAAAAGTGTTCTATTTTTCGTGTAACAAAAATGATTTTCCTTATACTATATTTATGATTTTTTTGTGGAAAATTTTGAATTTAATATTATAATGTGGTTATCAATAGGTACTACAATTGCTGGAAAAAGTTTATTATCGTGACAAGTATTACATCATCGTAAGTTCTAGGAGAATTTTTATATGATTAAGTATTATTAATCGATAAATTTTATATCTATTGCTCTAGTAATAACTTTTGTTGGTAATATATACTATATAAAGTAGACATGACAAATTTAAAATGACTTTGTTCTATTATTATAACATTGTAACAAATTATGTTTGTAGAGAGGTTATTTTCTTTTATTCCTGAATAATCTTAGAAACATAAAATACAATAAATATATTAATATAATTATTTTTCTTTTATTAGTTTTATGAATTGTTTGGATTTTAATTTCCAATAAATATCAATGAGATATGCAGCATCAAGTTAAACAAAAGCATCAGCAATTCTTACTACATAAGTACAACTACAGTGGATTTAATCGTGTCATAAATCTACAAGATGTCTGCAGTAGAAACACCACATTTGATTCGCACTATAGAATGGGATATGATGGACAAGACAAAGTTCTTTCCATTGAGCATGCTTTCATCATTTTCTGTACGCTGTTGCTTATATCCCTTAACAGTAATTAAAACTCGTTTACAAGTTCAAAGGCACAACTATATGTATAATGGTAAATTTTGAAATAAAATAAAATTAAAAATTAAGATAATAAATATCGTTTTCTTTCAGGAATGATAGATGCTTGTAAAAAGATTTATAAAATTGAAGGTATAAGTGGATTATATCGAGGATTTTGGATAAGTTCTATACAAATTGTATCTGGTGTTTTTTATGTATCTACATATGAAGGTGTGCGTTACATACTTAGACAAAATGATGTTATCGGTAATATAGATTCTAGAGTCAAATCATTAATTGCTGGTGGAGCTGCTAGTTTGGTAGGCCAAACAATAGTAGTCCCTTTTGATATTTTAAGTCAGCACTTAATGGTGCTTGGGATCAACAATAAACAAGGAAAATACACAGATAAGGTAAATATATATACATATATATATATATATATAAAAATATAAAAGAATGTTTTGTTATTAATATGTAATTTATAGATGGGTATGAATCCATTGGGCTTAATTCTTGAACCAGGAAAATCTCGTGCACAGATTTCAATAGATATTATCAAATCAATTTATCAAAGAGATGGATATAGAGGTTTTTATAGAGGATATTGTGCATCATTATGCGCTTATGTTCCTAATAGTGCCCTTTGGTGGGGATTATATACGTCATACCAAGGTAATTGCTTTGAAACAAAAACATGAAAATTAAGATAATAATTTTCTTTTTTTTGTTGATAGAAGAGCTTGTAAGATTGTTTCCAGAATGGGTTTCTCATTTGTTTATTCAAGCAGTTGCTGGTACATTAGGAGGATTTACCACCACAATTATTACAAATCCTTTAGATATTGTACGAGCAAGGTTACAAGTACAAAGATTAGATAGTATGTTTAGTGCATTCAAAGTTCTTTGGGTGGAAGAAAAGTTGCAGATGTTTACAAAGGGACTTTCCGCCCGTCTTGTACAGTCTGCTAGTTTTAGTTTCTCAATAATTCTAGGATATGAAACTATTAAAAGATTCAGTATAGTTGAGGAGTACAAAAATTGTATTAGATGGTGAATTTTCTAAACTTATTTGTTGTAAAATAATGTTTTCTGCCATGCATTTTTCAATAATTTCTGTTGTATTATACACAGAAATAAATAATTACGCACCAAAGAGAAAAGAATGAGATCAATTCATAGTGATCAATTCTCTAAATTGTTTTAATAATAGTACATTTAATACATGAAATATAAAATGTAAATATAATACAAAATATATGGAAAAGTTTATTTTAAATAATAAATAATAATTAATTATAAATTTTAAAGAGAATATAATTGTTAATCGATATTTATATTCTTTCCTACTGTTTTAGCACCTAAATTTTTTCTTAATAGTTTTAAAGGAATAATTTTTATTTGATAAAATCATTGTTTTCATAAAAAATTTATAATGTAATAAAAAATAGATATATTGCTGTGATAAAATACAATAAATAGAAATATCTTTTTATGATAAACTGAAATAAATAAAATGAATAAATTTATTAATTGTATTAATAATAATATTCAATTGTATTAAAATAAATAGATAAACGAAATGAATGAAGAATAAATAATATTTTTTTATTTCAATTTTATTATAAAGGACAATATACTGATAGACACATTTTTGTTGAAGGTATTTAAGTGATTTTGACAATATGATTCTTGTACATGAATTGATACTCTTTATTTTCGCATTATGTATCTTAAAAATTAAATATACAATAGGATTCCATTTCTTCATATTTTTTATACTTTATATTCATTTTTATGTACAGGCCAAGAAAATTTTTAATCTACGCAGTATATACGCGAATTATACACGCATTCACATTCTCATTGTTTATTACGTATGTATAATAATTTAATAATACATTTGTCAGATGTAAATAAGTTTCCATCTTGTAGTTTTAAAAAGCATTCAGTTTTCAAATAACAAAAATTGCATGTACATATAGAAATATTCTGTGAAAAACAATGTTTCCAATAAAAAGTATTATATATATTAATTAACAATTTATTATTTTTCATGCATTCTTAATACAGCAGAAATATATACTTGAATGATGTAATATAAGTAGAAAGTTATAAATAGCATTTAAATTGGACGCATTAATTTTTTTTGTACGTGTAAAGCGCCCTCTATTGAAAGCTATAGAAAACAATAGTTTCAGGATCGAAGTTTATGATTTTCTTTTTCAATGGTTTTTGTTTAGACTTAATATTAATATTAATAATCAAATCGATAATTTTTCTTTTTTCTTTCGTTTTCATAAAAACATAACGTAACAATTTTTGTAAATTATTATTTTTTTTAATTAATTTTTTGTGTATTAACGAATTTGAAATATTAAAGTATATATTTAATATTTAGAAAGATTAGATAAATATTAACCAATTACGTGTCATTTTTTTAAACAAATATTACAATTTTGAAATGTTTTGAAAAAAATTTTGAAAGCATTCCAGATATAATTTATTAATAAAAGCAAAATCTGCGTTGGATAAAAGAACCGACTTTGTTGATTTGAAATTCAAAGTCATTTGTTTATTATTTCTTTTTTTTTTTTTTTTACTTACATCATTTTTCATCGTGTATTGAGATTTTAATTTTACATGCAAAATTGATAAGTTAGCTAAAACGTAATTGTCAATGAACACCAAATGTTTAATCAAATTTTTTTGCAATTTTTACCGAGATAGGATTATTGAATTGATGTATTTTTATTCGAGGAAACGTTTGTATATATTCGTATTGATACACACTTTGTTACAATGTCTCATACATATATGTATACGTTTCACATAAGTTAATTTCACAGTGTCCTAATATTTACAATTGCGCGATAATTGTTTTATGTACAACAAGGAATGCTTACGTTAAGATAATCTTGATAAAATAAATAATCATTCTGTAAAAATATCCGCCATTGATAGTAGAACGAGATGACATCTGCCTATCGAATAAAGATTGTCCAATACAATAATTTATTACTTTTTGCTGTTAATTTTCAATTAGATGATATTAGAAAAACAAATAGAAGTATTTAAATTAACAATTTTTATGATAAATATAATTTGATCAATTGATATCTTAAATTGAACTAACCAATTTTTTTTTTTTTTCAGAAATTGGCAATCAATGCGAATGAATTCGTTATCCAAATTATAATTTTGTTATTTTATTCTTCTTATTAAGTTACAACGGTCTTGGTGCGCTACTCATTCTCCATCGTATAATCTTGTTGGAAATAAGAAAAATTGATTTGGCTATCAGTTTCGTTTCGCAAAGTTTCGTTCGACGACGACTTGACAAAAATATTTTTCTGCCGTTTGTAAGTATTATACGATCGCATTTGTGATAACTTTAGCTTAACTTTAGCATCTAAACTGTACGTGCGTTTGCGAATCGTAACGATTTTCTTTGCGTCTCTCGTGTACGTATTTAATGATTAACGGTGACTGGAAGAACATTACGCTCGTGCGATATTGGAAAATATAATTTTTTTCCCCGTGGAGAACACACGTATTATTTTCTCAAAATAATACATATTTTTTTCACTCGTTCCTTTCATCTTCTCTTTCCCCATTGACAGTCAATTTCGAATAATATATATATATATATTTACCGCGTCATTTTAACTTTGCGTATGACTTTTTCAGTTTCGCGTAACCGGCTGTCAATGCATCGACACGAGAGATCGCCGTTTCCTGGAAACTCGGAGAGAGAGAACCAATTCCATGTATTCGGAGTTGCCGAACATTTCGATCGTCAGTCTTTTGAACGTGCAACGTGGAAAGCGGGAACGTATTTTCGTAGATCGTAGACTTTTTCCTTTCCTTTTTCTCGTTTCTTGAAATTCGATTCGGAAAAGCGGTAATCGTATCGAAACGAAACGGTTAGACAATTCGTTGGAGAAGAAAGTAAAGGATAACTCGGTTAGATACTCTCGTTCGCGCATCACCAGATCGTTTTACGATTTCGTGTACGAAGGTTTTTCGCTAAAAGTAGCTACAAAGTATCTCGAAGGTATCCGAAACGTAAAAACGGTAACGAGCTATCGGCCGAGCTCGGTTTACGGTCTTTCCCGCGATTCGATTTTCTCTAAATCCTTCGTCATATAGGATGTACAAAACGCGAATACTACTTTTTCTCTATGTACAAGAAATAACAGGCTATTTATACCGATCGTTGTGTGCCCCTGAACAATGAATTTCACAAAAACCAATTTCAACTGTTAATTTAATTATTCCAATTAAATATAAATCTAACAAACTTTTGCTTCTTAATTTTCACCATTATTTCAACATCATTTCACTTGTAACCGAATCTACGAATTCTCGATCAAATTTTTTAATGAACACGATTGAAAAAAAACTATTTTACAAAAATTTTTATCAATAAAAAGAAGAAGAAGGATCGATCTAACAACAAAGGGGCACACAATAACAGGTACAAATATCCCGGTTTGGGGCGTCCCGGGTCGCGCGTGACGCTTCTTCGTGGTCCACTTTTCGTCACCGGTGTTAAAAAGCTCGACGATAAGGAAGAACGGAAGCACGTCGCTTATCCTCGATTCGTCTAGTCGGAAGCACACACACACACACACGCGCGCGCGCGCACGCTCACACACGCATAGACGGAGGGAGGAGGCGATGTTGGATCACCTCGGAGATCTGGAATCTGTGCATTTCCGAGTGGAAATTCGCGACACGATTCCTCGAGAAGCGAGCCTACAATCACGTGTCACGGAAACGGATAGCGCGCTCTCGTCGAGGCCCAGACCGGGCCCCCGTGTGACGTCACATCCCGCCGCTGGGTAGCACGCTTCCGGCACCGTCGCTGCTCTGGCTCACGCTGCTGTAACTCACGCGGCTCGCCTCGCCGCTCGTACCCGCCCCGGAAATATACTGTAATCACAAACAATTTTACAATTCTCAACAAATATTTATTCGTAAGAGGGAAAGATTCGGTTTCATCGGTCTGTGCGCGGTCTATGTACAGAGTATGTACAGGTAGAAAAATTGATTGGATCGTGATCGAGTTGGTCGTAATCCGGTGTTAAATTAGAATAGGTGCCTGTATTTTTTTCCCTCTGCCCTCTAAAGCCTGGAAAATATCTCTCTCTCTTTCTCTTTCGCTCTCTCTTTCTCCCTTCTTGGAAAACCCGGTTTTTCGAGATAGCCTAGTGAAATATTTTTAGTAGCGATTGGCGAACGTTACCTGGAAAACTTTGCATAAAAATCGTTAGGAATATCGTATGTGTAAGTATTATAATAAATTAGTCGGTCGAGAGAGAGGGTGAATCGCTTTTAGGAGTTCGAGTTCTTTGTCGTGGATACTGGAACAGATAGTGGAGGCGAGGAGGATGGGGGA